TGGAATGTAAAGAGAATGAGTGGACCAAATAAGAGTGAAGAAACTCATTCAAGAGTTGGGTGGATCTTGGGAAGTGCGAGTTCCCAGGGATGAAATCCTGGAATTCTCTTGGCAAGAAAGGGCATGGTTCACACTACCCAGATCTTGGGGGATTGCTTTCCTTTCAGGAGTTAAAGCACTTTGACAATCGACAAGAATGGATGTGATTTGTCCCCAGTTTTAAAACCAACACAACCAAAAAGTGATTTAATATGGTGTGAAGAAACTTGAGTCACAGATTTCTGGCAATGATTAAATGTTATTACCTGGGAACAAAACAAGGGCTCTATACACAGCGGGAAAACAGGAAAAGAAAGACCTCTGGGCACTTTGACAGTTTGAGACTAGACATTTAATATGAACTGTATCACTCTTCTAGCAGTTAAGACCTGGGATTGATAGATTTTCTTTGTTACTAATCTGTGTTTTTACTCTCCTATAGAGATTTGAAAGTTTGTATTGATGCTGTTTGGAGAGATCTTTTGCTGAAACCTGTGAGAAGAGTTATTGAAATGTTTAGAACCTTGACAGGTATTTTAATGTATATATTGGCAGGAATGCTAAAACTATTGCAGCTCAAGTGGATTTCTAGGAAAATGGATTTGGGAAAATTTAGGAAAACTGATTTAGGAAAATTGATTTCCTTCAAGAAAATGTATGGATTCTCACAACAATTTAGCTGGCACTAGGATGTGGGAGGATCTACTGTATATATCCTCATCGTCAGCATTTTCAATGAAACAAGTCCCTTCAATGGTAATGAACGGTATGCATGTATTTCTGCTGTCAAAGTTAATGTCATGAATCGTATCTCTGTTCCCCTCACATGTAGGGGGGCACTTAGAATTGTTAAAAGTGAACACAAAAGGGATACTATGTTGCCTAAAAAATGCATATGCCAATCCATGTGCAGATGCAAATTTATAAATAATTCTTATAATCTGAACAGAAATATAGTTCATTTCACCATAGTATGGGAGACTGTGAGCCTGGTGCACCGTGTACCTGACTCCATCTGCTGTTTTGGAGCTACTGATGGACAACATCAAGGCCCAGTTTTTCCTCCTAGCAGTACTTTTTTCAGACTAGGGCCAGATAACTCTTCAAATATAGGATATCTTCAGAGCAGGACAGTCCTCTAGCAGTCCTTGAAATAGATGTCTGCCTTCTATAAAAGAGGACATGTGGCTACCCCATGATAACTTGAGAGATTCTGATACACTACTCAGTGAAAACAGCAACCTTGAAGGCCTATACAGCAATTTGTTCAGATTATTGGAAGTTTGTCATTTTGACCGTGATGATGAGAAACAACAACACAAAGTACCGAGGACTGAAAAGTGGAATGGTCTGTAGAAGTTATTTTTGGGAATCCATTGCTCTCTGGTCCAATAACCCTCCCGTGTATCAGGTTTTTAAATTAAAATGGTTGCCTTCTTTCAGTCCTATAGGTATTTTCCAAAAATGATGGATAGTGGTGGCTAAAGCTGTTCTTCCTCCCAACTGGCTCAAAACAGTGGGCGGATCCAGCAGGAAAGATCCTGCTTCCTTCACCTGGCTGGCTTAACTACCCCCTCCTCCCTACCAGCTCCTGTTGACAACTCAGGGGTGGGATGAGCTGCATTCTCCTGAGCCCCCTCCTGAGAGGACTCTGAAGACTGTGGCTCCTCCATTGGCCTCGCTGGGTGGGAAGTCTGCTGGAGAGGACCGGGGGAGAGAAGGCATGCTGTCTTGGTCCTCCCTGGAGAAGGACCAGGAGAAAGTGCTCCTGCCCCCATTGCTGTCTCAGGTACTGCACAGAGCGATTGGTGCGGTAGTGGAGTGGGGGATGGATCGTGTTTCCTGGCCTTCCCGCAGAGGAGCCCCAGGAGAATGTGGCTCAAGACCAGGCACAGGGAGCTTCTGGCAGTTATCCCCGAGTGCTGGCTTCGGGGCAGCTTATAATCTCTGTTCTGCTCCCCTCGGTGCTCTTGTGGTGTCTTCTTGGATACCAGAGGACGGACTGAGGTGAAGAGGTGCCTCAGCCACGCCCCCATTTTGGACCCTGGGGCAAACAAGCCACTCTGTACAGCTTTCTATGCCATGACGCTTGTGGTGTCATGCAAACATGGTCAAATGTGCCCATAGGCTCCGCAAAATTGGGGATTCCTGGGATACTATGCTAGCTCATTTTCAAAAAATCTTGAACTGCCACTGTAGAGAATTATCTTCGTTGGGACCAACCAACCTGTCACCCGCTGTGACGCTCCAGAATGTGGAAAGTTGCTTATGACTTCGTGACGTTTTGGTTGCTCTGGATAAATAAACAAAAAGAGAAACCAAGAGAGCTGGAAAAGTGAAAGAAGGCGAGGGAACTACAGGACAGGGAAGGTGTGGGAGAAGACAGGCAAGGGAGGGAAGGACTGTTTTCCTTAATCATGTGTGTCATGGCCTTGCTAAGAAAGATTCCCCCCCTTCCTCTCAGCAAACTTGAGTGTGAGTGCGAGACCAAGCTGTGGCGACTGCAGCTTGTCTTCCCAAACACAAATACTTTTCACCATAGCATTTTAAAGCAAAACTCATATAACAGGTAGTTATGAAAACACAGGTATATATTGCAAACAGAAAATAAAACTGCATATATTATTTATGCACAAATGGCTAAAAATGAGAAAGATCTTCAATTAGCACATTGAAAGATTTTCTGTTGACTTCTTTTCCATTAACAACAAATCAGAGAGTAGGGTCTCTAAGCAAATCTTAAGGCCTGGATGGGTTCATTTAGTGCTGGCAAAACATCAGTTAATCTGGCCCAAGACTATTTCTGGCTTTGGAGGTTCGTATCAGAAGGGAACATGCATTGAGCCCAACCCATGCAGGATAGGTCTATGTATATATGTAGATATGCATACGCCAAGTGTCTTGCCCTTATTTGCAGGTGATGGTATTTTTAGCCAACCTGGAATTCTGGAATGCTTTTAGGGTAGAAAACATTGTCTGGCCTGGCCATAACTAGTGCATTGCACAGGGCCACTAAGGCAAGGTCCACTTTCTTCAGATACAGCTGCAGTAAAATGGATTTCTGGTAGCAGAGGTCACCTGAACATCCCGGTAGCATAGCAGAAGCTATGGACCTAGCTAGCTATGGACCCGGTAGCATAGCAGAAGCTATGGACCTAGCTAGCTATGGACCCGGTAGCATAGCAGAAGCTATGGACAACCTAGCTATATGGCTCCTTCCAAAATGAGTTTCATATATGGGGTAGAACTTCCTACTATGCACAGTTTAAGTATGGAACTCACTGTCACAGGTTAGGGAGTCTAGAACCCAGGCTCTTCCCCCTAAAGTTTGTTGGTGGCAGATAAAGGATATTTCCACACAGTGCGTAGTTAAACAATGGACTTCGCTACCAGAAGATGTGGTGATGGTGACTTCCTTGGATGGCTTTAAAAGGTGATTAGACAAATACCTAGTGGATAAGGCTATCAATGCTACTAGTCCTGATAGTGGCAGAGCCAGGAGGTCTGTGTATCCCAGTTGCTGGGGAACTTGGGTGGGAGAGTCCTGTAGTTCTGTGTCTCATAGGCAGCTGGTTGGGCAGTGTGTGAACAGAATGCTGGGATAAAGGATCCTTGGGCTGATACAGCAGGGCTGTCTTCTTATATATAACTTTGAACATATTTCTCAAAATGATCCATTACTGCAAATTTGCACATTCTATTTTAAATAAATAAAAAATCCAGTTGCTGGGATTCCCACAGCTCAGCTAACCACTCAGTACGGCAAATTTTTTTTTTGAATGTGATGTTGCTAGAATTGAAATAACATATATCTTAAGAGCTGCAAGGTTGGTATGTGTGTATATACACAACACACCCGTTTCTGTTACATGCCGTCCAGTCATCTCCTGCTTGTGGTGACCCTAACGAATGAGTCCCCTCCAAAATGCCCTGACCTTTAGGGTTTTGCTCGGCTCTTGCAAACTCAGTGTTGCGGCTTCCTTCATGGAATCCATCCATCTCTTTCGCTGTACTCCTTTGCCTTCTGTCTCCAGTTTTCCCTACCATACTGCTCTCCTCCAGCGAGTCTTTCTTTCACATGATTTGCCCAAAGCATGACAGCTTCAGTTCTGTCATTGCGCTTTGCACACATGCCCGCACACAGGCATGTATAAGCCTTCCCCAACCTGCCCCCTTTCTGGCATGTTGGACTACAGCTCTCACGATCCCCAGTCATCATGGTCCTGCGTGTATCTGTGTGCAGGGGCAGCGTGAGGGAGGGCGGCCACGCCGCCTGGGGAACATGGGAACTGTAGTCCGACGCATCTGGAGGGAAGCAGGTGGGGTGGCGCGCTGCCTCACACTGAGCGAGGGAGTACTAGCCCAGGCCAGCCTCCCAAAGCCATGCTCCCCTCCTCTCCTCGCTCGCCCAGCGGCCCCGCGAGGAGCCAGCCCGCGCTCCCTTCCCCACGAGCAAAGGCGGCAGGGCCGGGGGGAGGAGCCAACGCGCGAGCCAGGAGGGCTTCCGCCAGTCCCCCTCCCCTCTCGCCCCCTCCTCCTCCTCCTCCTCTCCCGTAGCACGTGCTGCTCGGGCACAGCAACCTCACTTCCGGCAGCAGAGAGTAGAGTCGAACGGGAGACGATCCGGAGCAGTGAGAGTTTAAAAAAAAAAAAAAAAAAAAGAGAGAGGAAAAAGTAAACCGCGCGCGTGCGCGGCTTCCCTTCGCCTTCGCCTTGCTCCCCCTCTGCCGCGCTCACACTCTCCGGCCCCCCTCCCCCTCGGCTGTGCCCCGCCCCTCCCCTAGCCTGCAGCAAGCCGCGAGAACGCGGGGCGGGGCGGAAGGGGGAAAGAGGGCGAGAGAGCGCGCGGAGTCCCGCTCGAGCCTCCCTCGCCGTCCGCCCCCCCCCCCCCGCGCCCTGCCTCTGTTGGCGCGCGCGGGGCCAGCGGCGGAACGTAGGAGGGCGGCGCGCGAGCCCCTCCGCCGTCAGAGCGAGGCTGCCGGAGGGGGGAGGGGTCCCTGCTCTCCCCCCTCCCTCGCCGGTTTCTCCTCAGCGCTGCGTCGTGTGTCTCTGGGAGGCGGCGGCGGCGGAGCAGGAGGGGAGAGGGGAAGGCGCTGCTGGCGGGGGCGGCCGAGGCTCGGCTTCCCTCCCACGGACTTCCCGCGCAGCATGGGGGGCGAGTGAGGGGCGGCACCCGGTGGCGGTTCCTCGGCCGGCGCCGTTCGCGCGGCGGCCTCGGGCTTCCCAGTGCGGGGCCGGGCGGCTGAGCGGCTCTCCACGCCCGCGGCAGCCCCTGAGGCGAGAAGGGGCGGCTCCTCGGGCGGCGGCGGCGGCGGCTCCTCTTGTTCTGCTCCTCCTCCGGCCCCTGCTCGCGTCCCTCCGGGCTCGAGACGCTTCGCGCTCGCCATGAAGAAGTTTTCTCGGATGCCCAAGTCCGACGGCACCGGCGGGAGCGGCGGCGGCGGCGGCGGCGGAGGGCTGGCGGCGGGGTCGAGCGCCGTGGCGGCGGGCGGCCCGGCCGTGGGCAGCAGCAGGGTCTTCTCGGTGGGACGCTTCCAGGTCACTGTGGAGGAGCTGCTGGCCGAAGGTGAGCGGGCCGAGGAGGGCTGCAGTCCTCCCGCCGGGGGTCCCGTGGAAGGGCCGCTCAGCCCCTGCACGGCCCACTCCGCACGTGGAGGGGTGGATGGACGCGGGTTCGCACTCGCGAGGAAACGCTGCCGAAGGGCGCGCTCCTCCCCGGGGAAAAACTCGGGTTTTTCTGATGTAAGGATTTCACTCCCGCTGCGCTGGTGAGAAAGAGGTGTTACTACGCCACGCTCGTGTCAGCGAGACTGCTTCACCGGTGTGACGCCCCTGCTGAGGGTGCCCTCCTAAGCGGGACCCCGCGGTCGTGGGTACGTTGCGTTCAGACGTGCCTTTTGCGTGCATAGGTCCTGCAGGGATAGGAGCGGGCGCGTGGCAATGACCCTGGAGGCAAAGGGGGCGAATCTGAGACGCACCCATCAAGTTAGGACCCACTCCTCTCTCTTAGCTCGATGGGAACCACCACAAGGCCCCTTTTAAGTGGTGCCATCACCGTGGATTGTGTAGGCCTTTGGACAGTGCTTTCAGGCCATTAACGGTCAGGTTCAGGCCCTGTTTATTCTTTATTCTTCTTCTTCAAGAAGTTTTAAAGTTGCTTATTAGGGCCAATCCCTCACATAATGGCATCTAGAGGAAGATTAATAGGGGATTATTAGGTACATCAAAAAGTGGTACAAAATGCAAGGACAGTCACTGTGAATCACAAACAGTATTGGCATGCTTAAGGAAGACTGATGAAGAAAGACATCCCTAAGCCCCTCCTAAAGCTTTCTAATGAAGGGCCCAAAATATGCCAGCTGGGAGTTCCACAACTGTGAGGCCACAACTGAGAAGTCCCTGTACCTTGTGCTCGCCAACCTACCTGATTTTTGTGACAGGCAATCCAGCAGGGCCTCCGAAATGAAATTTAGTTAACAGGCAGGACTGTATTGTACAAGTGGAACTGGAATACCCGAGGGACCACGTTCAAGTTTTTGCTTTGAATGTTAACACCAGCATTTTGAATTTGGCCCAGAAGTGGATTGAAAACTTGCAAAAATTTGCTAGCCTTGTTGAACTCAGTTTGACTTCCCATGAGTATGTTTAAGGTCAGGTAAGGGGAGGGAAAGGGAGCTGAAAACAGTAAGAAACTAGCAGGAGTGTTCTTCCTTGGAGTTACTCTGTGTGATGCGAAGCCACAGTAATTCTTATGGGGGAAAGGGGACTGTTTGGCATGCTGTGTATACTTGAGTTTGAAGGAGAATTTCTTCCCATGTTATGGATCTCATTTGTGCCTGAAGTAATTGAAGTTCTGAAACTGACAGGGTTTCTCATAAAATAGTGGTTCATAGGAGTAAAACTGAACAAAATTTGAAGTGGGAAGTAGCCCTGAGTCTGTGGGTGTGACTGTTCCTACATATGTGTTTTGCTTATGGTTTAACAGTTTAAAAAAAAGGCAGTGGTCCTGAGACAGAAACAAAGATGAAACACTTCTGCTTTTAGAACATAGCTTTATCCTACAAAGAACATGTGCTATTTCCTGTTCTGTTTGTTTTTCTTTCCTGAGGGGGAAATTGTCATTCTTTTCCAGGTTTATAAGCACTTCTACTCATCTAGGAGCATTTACATAAACCTGAGAGTCTTTTTAGGGATCTTGTGGGCACATTGTCATTGCTGACCACATTTTTTGTTGCACTGGGACATCTTTTTTTTCTTTCTACTTTGTTGATCTAAAAAAAGTTGAAATATGTATGTTTGTAATACTCATTTGCCAGCCTGCACATGCTTCAAAGTCTGTAGGTTCTTTTCCTGATCTTCTGAGGGTTTAAGAAATACTTATATTAAAATGGCTGTTATTTGATATATAATCCCTCTTCAGGGTTGGGATATGCTAAGTAAAAAATGAAATATTTTTAAAGGACTTGTTCTTTTTTAGGGGTACCTCTTCTAATTTTTAAAAAAACTATAATCTGTAAAATATCTCTAAAACCTGTCCTTGTTAGAGGTGTTAAACTTAAAAGTATATCTTGAGGAGTTCTTTTAGATGTTCCCTTTTCTGTTGGTTCTCCTGAAATCTTATCAGTTCCCACGTATAGATGCATAGGTGTCTTTTGCCAAATACCATATTTTATGGCCATGCAAATATTGTTTGCTGTTATAGTCATAAGTGCCAGTACTTAATATGGATATCTTGTATTTTCTTTCAAGGGAGAATAAAAGATTACTTGTATATTAACATTTAGCTTGGTAGGTGATCTGTAATGTATTTTGTAATTGTATTTGATTAGTTTTTATCAATAACATGTGACTACATATCTAATGTCTCTTAAAGAGAAAGTGAAGATCCTTGTAGCATACTCTGTCACCTGCAAACACTTAAAACATGCTAGTGCTTATTGAGTTGTGTTTGCAAATATGTCTTTAAGTTGCATTATGTAGGATAAAGCAAGTCTTCCTGTTTGTAGGTTTAGAGAAAGTATTAATAAAGCTGCTTGTATTCCAGATGCATTGAAAATAGTTAACCAAAAGTGGATATTCCTGGTGTGTATTTAACTTTGATAAGTTGATCAAAGAGTGTGATCCAATCACAGTTAATTAAGCTCCAGTGACTTCAGTGAGACAAATTTTAGTGTATCATCCATAATAAGAATAGGGTATCTTAATCTCCTCTTGCACATATATGTTGGAAAGACATGGAATGTTTCCAGCATTTGTGAACACTATGAGTTCATTTGTCAATTTTCTTACAGGACTGAACTAAAATCAAAGTAGTTCTGGACAATTTTCTGACATGCATAGCTGACCATATTTGAGTCAACATTAGGAAACAAACTGTATATGTTAAAACAAAAATAATGAGGAAGGAGGGTATTTCCCCCTTCTGTAAAGGCTATCTTGGCATATGATGGCCTCTGTAGTTCTTTGGCATCAAAACTTGAGGTGTCACCTATGTCCCTGCATCCTGTGTTCCATTCAGCTCATTGTGTCACACATGGTTGCCTTGTCATTTGCTATTGAGAGGCTGACTTTAGCTGCATTCCCAAACACTCCTGGGATTAAGTCTCATAGAGTTCAGTGTGAATTACTTTTGTGTAGACATGCATAGGAGAGTGGTCTGATGCAGAACATAATTTTTTTTATTCCAGCTTGGTAAACAAATGGCATTCAATTCAGCAGTGATGTTTAGTCCTGTGATCCTTTATAACTAGTAAGCAGTGTCTTTCCAGAAGTGCCAGTTTGAGAAGGAAATAAGGGGCAGTGCCATATACTGTCTCTATAATCAGTATTTGATGAGTCACTTTCTGCTGTAAAAAGCAGTCTCAAATTGACTTATACATGCAGTAATTAATATAATGAGGGGTAGAGGTGGGAATAAATAGAAAGCTCTTTGACCTGCTAGCAAGTTCTGTTGTCACAAGTCACTTTATACTACTTTTATTTCCAGGTTTGTGTGGTTTGCTTTGTTTATGTAATTATATAAAGATTCATAATCTACCCTTCTATTGCTTACATACAGTTAAAGCCAATTATAAAATACAAGAACATTTGATTAAAATAACTGTGATAAAGACACATTCAGCTGAGGAGCAAAGACACTGGATAAGAAATTTCTCCCTGGTAAAACAAAGGCCTGCTGGTGTAAACATATTATCTGGCATAACAGAACAAGTGAGGGGGTCTACTGAGCTTCATAGGGCAAAACATTCTATAGTTTGCATATGATTACTATGAATACCCTTTTAGTTGTCTCCATCAAATGAGCTTCCATCATAGATGGAGCATTAGACAGGTCTTTTCTTCAAGTCTTGAAGAATAGGTAGACTGGTAAAGGAGTTGGTGGTTTCTGTACTGTTGAAGTTTTTAAATATTGGCAGCTAGGAAACTGTGGGGTTGTATTTGGTCAAGTGGCTTCAGTTGCAAACCCTCATCAGGATAGGTCTAAATAACCCTGTACTGCTTGAAACTTTTTTAGTTACTCTGGCCTGTTACTTACGTGTATTAGATATGTGGTAATTATGTATGTGGAAGGTTTATAAAACCAATGGTATGATTCAGGATAAGACAGCTTTATATATTCAGATATTGTTGACCAGTGAAGAAACAGCTGCATTACTAGGCAGTAAGTGAATCAAGGGTGTTCTCCCACCCCATTTATTTATTTATTTGGATGTATTACAGATTCTGTAGTGATCTGCATTGGGTTGGAGCAGCTAAACATGCATGAGTGAAAGGAGCTTATTTATTAGTGCTTGTTATACAAACTTTTGAGTAGCTGGTTATTGGTCCTCTGTTGCAGTATACCTGGACTATGTGTAGGTACACAAGGTGCATGCAGTTACTTTGCATAAAGAAGCAGGAACCTCAGGGAAGGGTTGCTGAGTCAAAATGAAACAAATGAGGCAAAAGCACACTTCATCTATAATCTAGACTTGGACCAGGTTCACATGTAATGACAACAAATCCTGGGTTAATTGAATTCAAATACTATAAGCTAATTGTGGGTTAAACCCATAATTAACCAACAATAATTTGCTAAACTGTCATTGAATCAGCAATTAACCTGTAGTGTCCTTGTTTGGATTTCTTTGTGGAATGTGCCTCAGACAATCATGGGTTAATTGAAATGTTGCCAGTTGGTTTCTACAGTCACTGCAGCTTTGTGACTTTACAACCCTTATGCAGAAATGACCAAGAAGCAAGCTGAATCCACATTGATTTGAACTAACAGTTCAATACTCTGGTTGCCTGCTTATCGGTTCATTAATAGTTTGCTGAGGCACCATCTGAATTATGGGGTTCTTTAATACTATGTTCTACCTCATAAAACATTATCTGGATGGCTTACAGTAATTTGTATGTCACTCAGAACTACTAATTTCTAATTTTTTCATATGTTCTAATGGTTAATAATTCAGACCTCTGGATTTTTCCATGCAGATACATTTGATACTCAGAAATCTAATATCTAGTTTAGTGCCTATACTGAATGAGATGAGGGAGTTTTATATGTTTTTGCTTTTAGAT